AAGGCAGTGCATGAGCTCAGAGCTGCTGTAGTAGAAGCGGATTTGGTGAGTCAAGCTACTTTTTTAAAGCACTGATCCCATTTCCTTGTATTCTTAAGTAGCTTCAATCCATCTTACTGCATTATAGAAACTGTGTTGATTGTTCTACTGTAGTGAGTAATAACAAGCTGTACTTTCCAGATTACCCCAGAGAACTGGATTCCTGGCTTAGCTGTACCATGCGTCCTGCATGCAAAGACACATTGGGGTAACCTGATTTGTTCCAGTGCATACAGAGTTCTCTGAGCAGGGGAGAGAAAGGGGAGCAGCATGAAATGTGGAAAAGGAAGGCAGAAGGGGATAAGAAAGAGCAAGAAGGGAAAGGGGATAGGTGTCTATAGGGAGGATCCTTTCACACCTGCTCCCTCAGTGAAAGGGAGACCCCAGTAATGCCTACTCTGCAAAAAAATTTCCTGCAGTATGATTGTGTGAGAGGTAGGCAATATGGCCCTGTGTGCACTGCAGCCTTTGGGTAGCAGAGACTCCGGGCCCTGTGGGCAGGCAGACTCTGTCCTTCCCTCTGTCTCCTTCCCAGGTGGATTTTGGAGATCAAAAGCAAAGCTCCCTGCTGCTGTAATGCTATTGATGTCAATGGAGTTGTGCTGCAGGGAATTTGGCTCGCTCCTTTTAATGCAGTAGGTATTAAACTTGAGTCTTCAAGGCTGAAATTCCTGCCTTTGGCCTGCACAGGATCTAACAGATCATTTAAATCTCACTTAAACCCTCAAAGTAGTTCCTTAAGTGTTATTGTCAAGGCTTAGTGCTGGCTCTGCATGGGGAAAACGTCCTTACTGGAAAGTTGTCCTTAGGCTGCATTTGGGGTATTCAGCCACCCTAATTGCTCCCAGTGATCTATAGTGTTGATATTCTGGTGGTTAAGTCCAATAGTTCCCAGTGCTGGGTCATCAGCTGCTTCCCTCTGGGTCACAGTCTGGTGACTCCCAGCAATATACTGAACTGTTTGTGCACAAAGCCTGCAATAAAATGTGCAAGAAACTGCAAAGAACTCCCTGACAAATGAGATCTGTAAGTCATTCTTCGAGGCCATGCCGGAACCTGGTTATTGCTTAATAGAGTATGTGCAGCGGAGCTCGGTTTATGGGGGCAGGGAACTTGCAAAAGGAGGGGGGCTTCTGGCAGCTCATTTAAGTACAGAGTTGTTGAGTGCTTTCAAAGACTCCTGTAGGTACTCCCACAGGGCAGAGTTATCAGGGGAGGCTTGGCCTGTATAGGTTGTATCGGAGGCTTCTAGCTAGGGATGATGCTCTGCTCCTAAGTGTTCCCATAGGCTCATCCTCAGCTCTTCTGTTCATTAGGGCTTTCTGACTGGGGGGGGGGGGGTTTCCAGGGGTCTGGCTGCTTCTCCAAGCTGTTCCTGGCCAGATCCATGACACAGCACACAGCATTCCCCTTACCCCCCTACTTTCTGCCATTTTTGGTGCCTGAGGCAAACTCTGCAGCTACTCTGACTCCCTTTGGTTTGAGCTGTGGGACACAGAGATTAGGGTCCCTTTCCCAGTGGCTGCTCTCTTCTCTTGCCTCCTCTGTGTTTTGCTGAAAACCAAATGCGCTGCCATTACAGCACCACTGCAGAAGCCATGAATCCTCCCAGAAGTTCTGCCTGTCTGCTTCCCAGCCTGGCCTTTCCCAGACCTCATCTAACTGTACTTCCCTTAACTTCTCTCCTGATTCACAATCAAACGGCAGTGCTGCTGCCCTGGGACAGTCACAGCCCTGGGCTGCTGCAGGTTATACAGCTCCATCAGTGCCTGCATGGTTAACTGGTCTGCCCCAGCAGGGCACAGACCTCTCTCCTCTTTCCTCTGGTGCATTGTCTGATGCAGTTTATTTTAAATGCTAGGATAGTGCTACCTTCAGCGAAGTTAATAATCTTCATCTAGGCTACAAGGGCTCTATGTCCCACCCTGGCAATAAGCTAACCTTGCTGCGTTAGGAGTGCCATTAATGCTGATGGAGGGCAGTGGATCTGACAGCTGTAGGGCTGGAGGTCAGGTTCTCTGTGGCACACTCTTTAGACTTTCAGTGCAATAGGCTTTGATATCATTAAACAGTGAAGAGCTTGTCTCTTTCTTACCCAGATCCTGATTCTTTTTTCTCTCCTTTTAAAATTAAGGCAATGTGGTGTTGCATTGTAAGAAGGATCTATTTTTCTACTGACCCATTTCAGTAAAAGAGCTTGTCTAGAGCATGTACCTCCTTTGAAGATGGAAAGGGATTCATAGATATTAAGGGCACTATGATCAGCTCATCTCACCTCATGCATAATACAGACTGGAGAATTCCCTCAGGGATTCTTGTGACAAGCCCCGCGCTCTGCAGCTGGATGGCATCGTAGCTTTTTGCATTATTATCCAGAGCCATCTTAAGGTCTGGCTCAGGGGTTTTGTTCAATCACTCCATCAGCAGGATGTGAGGCACTTGTTGTGGGAGACAGCAGCCTGTTTTGGCCAATCATGTCACCAGCATGCTGAAAAAGCTGGCTCTTCAGCCTCCTCCCTGCCCGTCTGCAGCAGCTGTGCTTTCCCAGACCTCAGCTGAAGGCAAGCCAGGGTGATGAGAGTGAGACAGGAGATGGGAATGCTACTGCCATCTTTTCTTTTACTCCCTTCCCCTTAAGGACCTGGGGTCACCTTTCTCAGAGCCTGCGGACCCGGGGGTAACTTTAGGTCTGACTGCTCCAGGATGTTCAGGAGTTGATGGAAAGGATATGGCATTTGTACAGTTCAGCTAAGCTAGCCCCATCTGGCAGTGAGTTGGTGACAGGAGGGTTACCTCCAGAAGGCAATTAAGTGCACCTAAGTGAACTTCCTGCTGCTAATCACCCTCTGAAGGACCCATCTCCTTCCCTTCTGCAGGCACCCTGAGGGGCCTTGTTCAGCAGCAGAGGTGACTTGTGGCTCCCAAGAGGCTGTGCACCCTGCAGAGAAGTGCAGTTTTCTTGTGAACTGACTTCACTCATTTTTCCCCATTTGTTCCACAAATGAAATGAAACAGCTCTGTCTGAGGACTAGCAGAAGGACTTGTCTCCATCAAATCCTTAGAAATGCTGTCATGTTTCATTCCAGGAAAAATTGGTTTGAAACCTCTCTGCTGCAAAAAAATAAATCTGAAACTCCAGTTTCCTGTCTTGCTCCCACATGAAGCTGCCTAGGTTTCCCTGGGGCAGGAATGATGGATTCAGGTCAAGCTTGCCTTTGGACATCACATATATTCATGTATCTTTCCCAGCACTAAGATAACTGCGATGTGTTATCTCAGGGTATACCTTGAAGATAGCAGAGTAGTTTGGGTGTTGTCTGTTTGAACTGCAGCTGGTATTTTCAAAAGTCACTGGGATTTCTGGCTTTTGGAGAGCATGCTTTTCAGATCTAAGGCCTGATGTTTTCAGATAGTATTATCTAAACTCCTGGTGCTTCAAGAGTCTTAGTGTAGCTACTCAGAAGCAAAATGCTCCAAGGCACTAGTCTTATTTGCTGGCTATAGTTGTGTTGCCTTGCTTCATGGTCCTAATAGAGTGATCTGCTGACAGCCCACTACTTGGATACTGCCCATAAGAAATGGGATGTTTTATGTTTAGAGGAGAGCCTTTGATTTGGGAATTTAGCCTTTGTACAGCTGTGAAGGTTTGTCTTGGCCACAGTATGTTAGAGCTGTTCATTTTAGTTTTTGGCATGAAGTATTTAGCAAAGAGTTGTTATGCCTTTCTCTTACAAGAGATTAAATGCTAATAGTGGTTTTGTGAGTGCTTTCAGCTACTGTATCCCCACATGCAGTTTGTGACTTGGCTGGCTGCCCTGTCCACAGTGGGTGTTAGAGTCACCGGTGTACAAGTCTGGGGAGTTTGTGCTGATTTCTCCCTATGCTGTTTTAAGTAAAAATGGAAATGGATTCGGAGGCTACCCAAATAATATGACTGTGCCCAGTGTATCCAGGGAAGAGGTGAAGATCCGTTTGCTTCATGTTAGTACATAAATCCAGCTCCCCTTAAGGTGCTTAGGCACATTTGGATAATGACCTGGAACAACCTAGGTAGCAGGAGGTTACATGTACCTGTCATGTCAGCCTCTGCGAGCATGTGAGATGGCCAGCCAGCAGGCAAAAGCAGCCAATTGCACTGTGCTCAGAAGTGTTTCACTTGTTTCCATCTACCCAGCTCTGCAAAGTGAATCCTGCTGTAAAGACCTCTACCTCCCACTGGCATCACCTCCTGTCTGAAGGAATAGTGTCTAAAGTGCCCTCAATATTTCCAGCACGGTTTTTCTGCTTGTGTAGTTAAAGGCCATGCTGTCCTCTGCAGTGAACTGTACTGAGCCTGCCAATATGGGGGGGGGACAGCATGTGTCTGGGCACAGCACTGAGTGGTGAGATGCTGTGGGGATGCTGGAGGCTTGTGGTCTCCTCCCAGCCCTGGTGCTGTCCCCCTGCTGTCAGGGGGAGTCACTTCTGCTTTGTGCTTTAGTACCCTACATTTTTTTAACCTGTCTGTGCTGTGGGTTAGGCTAGGAAATGGTTCCTGCTAGTTGGGATATGTGGGGGGAGCTAGTTCTCACCTGGGATTTCTGGGCATTCCTCTTAGGTCTTGCTGAAAAGCAAGGTTCAGCATGTGCATGTGTGTATTTGTACATGCCCATGTGTTTTGGGAGGGAATTGAGGAAGCAGCCTGGTGGATGTGAACCAGACCCCCATGATTATCAAAGGTTCTTAAATCTCCCCCCTCTTCTCCCCTCCTGTCTGCCTCTCCCTGTTGATTTGGCCAAAGGAGTATTTGAAATTTCCAGCTGAAATTTCATGCTTTTTCCTTTTTTATTGTGGAGATCAGAAGAAGAGAGCCTAAACTGCACTATTAATTGCTTCCCAATAAAAGCCAGCCTGGATTGAGAGCTGAGGGAAAGCGCAGGGAAGTTTGCCTTGGTTTAATGTTAACTTAGCCCAGTCACAGCTCAAATGGTGCTGTTTTCCAGGTCATCAAACCCTTCCTCTTCTACTGTGCTTGCATAGTCATCTTTCTCCCCCTCAACATACTCATCCCCATGTCCTTCTCTGAATGCACCGTCCTCATGGCTCTGTTCCTCCTCTTCCTCCTCATTCAAGCCTTCACCAGTGTGCTCTGGTGGGTTGTTTCTTACATCCAGGTGGACACAGTGCCCATGGGTGTTCACCTGCTGCTTGCAGAAGGGACATGTCTTCTTTCCAGGCTGGGTGCGGAGCCAGGTGTCAATGCAGGCACAGTGGTAAGCATGGGAACAAGGCAGGATCTTCAGCTGGTCTCCTTCCTCATACTCTGCCATGCAGATCACACAGGTTTCGTATTTGTCTCCCTCCTGGTAAGTGCGCACTGTTATCTGATGGGCCTTCTTGTACCAGCTCATGCCGACCAGAAGTGGGATTGTGGCAATGATGACATTGAACATGAATCCAAACTCCTGAGCAATGCAGTGCAGGATGTAGTAGGAGGGGTATTTCATCAGGAGTAGCCAGTACTGCCAAGTTGTGTCCCATAAAATTTGAGTAGCATCTTGACAAGGGTCGAAATAGCGTTTGGATGGTATAAGGCTGATGCATGCCCCTTTCTCATAATGCAAAGACCTTTGCAAGTGGAGGAAAACTTCTTCTCCAGTGAAGAGGGATGGTATCTCAATCTGCTCCTGGGTTTCCTTGTCATCGGACATCATGTTCATCAGCTTCTCTGAATCCACGTTGTACACAACAGCAGCTTGGTATCCAGCCTGCTGGGCATGAAGAACCTTCTCAACAAAAGAACAGCCAGACCCCTGTATGAGTGCAATGTATGCCTTGGAGGCATTACTGGTTGCTGGAGGATGTTCTATTGCATGGCAAGCTTTTGGTGGTGTCACCCTGATCATATAACCTGTCAGCCCTTCCACTGGGAGCGGTGGCCCAAAGCATGCTGGCAGGGCTTTATAAGCAATGCACTTGGAGTTGTGGTTGTAAACCACACGGCTGAAGGTTTCTGCAACAGTAGAGTCATAGAAGAAAGTGGCAACCACACAGTGGAGAAGCAGAAGATTCATGCTGAATGCTGTTGAGTAGCTCTGAATAGAGATTTCTGAGATCGTCCCGAAGGAAGAGTGTAAGATGCAATCACGGAGGAATCATCCTATTTGGGTGTTACCACCATATCGTGACCTGGAGCAGCAGCAGGATGGAGATCAAACCCTGCTTCTGCCCTGGAGGCTTCTGCGGTAAGTCTTTAGTTCACCATCCTGGTGTGGAAGTTCCCAGGATGCAACACGTCTCTATCTCATTGTTGCCAGCTGCCAAGCAACACCGTTGCATCATTTCTGCAGATCTTTGTGACATCACCTGGTAACTGCTTCCCAAGACTGGGCTCATGTAACATCACTGCCAACCTGCTTAAACATTTATTTCCCTTTCTTTGGTCTTTGTGCTTGTGGCTTCTATTTCATCTCCCTTCAGCCAAATTTCCCTTCCTCTGGGTACTGGTAGGATGCTGGTATCTCATGTTGCTGATGCTGTGCAGGCGGGATAAATGAACCTCCTCCATCAGCAGTGTATGCCTGTTGCAAACTGGAACGCTCTGCTGTGGCTGCCAAAGCAACTCCTAAGAAACATGGCAGAGTGGGAGCGAGCTGTTAGGCTTGGCCTCTTCTGCTGCTGGGGGTGCATGTGGCAGCTCAGACTGGCTGGGTGAACTCGCTTTTCTTTTTCTTTAGAATTGCAATCCTTTAACTGACACCAGGCCAGAGGAATTGCTTGGGGTAGAGGGGGTTTTGGTCGTTTGAAATAACTTGATCAGTAACTGTCAGAACTGCAGCTAGATGTTGAAATGCTGTTTGTGTGGCCTCGAATCAGCTCTCTGCTGTTAGCTGTATTTGCAAAAGAAGATCCACCTGCAAGATCCCTGAGTAGCTAGGGTTTGCAGAAGGAGCTGGTATGCTGGGGCTAAACTCACTTGGACTCTTGCCCTGTCCCAGTGGGAGGAGGTGGTGGTTGAACTTGGGAAATATATTGTCAACTTCTGTAGTTGAGGTATTCACTTTTTTACTTTAAAACCTCAGCTGTTGGGATCAAGTGACTAAAGAAAACTTTAGCTTCTAGCTGTGAACTTTTTAAAATCTGGCTATTGTGGTGAAAAAGCTCACAAAGGAGTGAAAAGCATGAGGCATGCAAGTGGTGTCCCTCTCTTCCAGAATGTTGTTCATCAGGGAAGCTCCCATCTTTCAAGCAATTCCTGACTCAGAAATGGTGACTGCTCAGTGCCTGGAGGAACACCAGCCTGATGGGGAAGGCACTAGCTCTCCTGGTTGTCTGAACATGCTAGTTCTAGATATGCAGTGAACCCAGGTCACTTCTGAACCGCAAATCCCTAAAAACCTGTACCTTTTAACAAAAAACCCTTTTTGTTTAATGATCCGCTTGAGAGTAGCCCCATGGTTTCCAGAGCAGTTGTGTTGGACCTGTAGTTAAAAATCACTCATATACTAGGCAACTGATTTGTTACTAGCCCCCTTGGGCTCTGCTTGAGACAGATTTCACTGGGAGAAGAGCTACAGAAAATGTCAGCAGACAGTGTGTGTGCCAGAGACTCCCAGCAGCTGTGATTTCAAATCGATTTTATTTTCCCTCATCTAAAGAGTTTTACACTTGCAGGGAGACATTTTGATGCATTTAAAAACAAAACAAGAAAAATCTTCTGGGGGAGGAAATGTTAAACGCTTCCCAGCATAGAAAGAGAAGAAAAAGGAAATGGAGGTACATTGGGAGGACTTTTTGAGGGTGTATTTTTGGCTTGGTCTTATGCTTCTTGTGACAGCATTCATCATCCTAGTGTTGTCCAACTTTCTCTTGTTTGAAGTCCTCCCCTCTTTTCTTGCACTCAATTCTCCACTTCTGCCTCCAAATTAAAGCCTTAATTTCTAGCAGTCACCTGCACAAGGGGTAGGTCTGTCTTTGGGGCTGGATGAGGAGCTGCGTATCTGTAGGGGTGCTGTGACAGATGTGGGACCAAGGAAGGATTGTTGGCTGATACCCTTCATATTCTGCCGTGTAGATCGTACATGTGTTGTGCTTGTCTCCAACTCTGAATGTGCATGCTATTATCTTCTGGCTGCACCAGCACTATGTCGTACCCTAGAATGAGCAGGGTAGAGGCAGCCATCCTGGCTGCCTCACCATATCCAAGAGAAGTTGGGTGTTAGCAATCTCCAACCAGAAGATACCATTAACACCTAGCACTGCCCCAGAAGATGTGGCTGAAAGGACAGATTGCCTCTAGGGAAAGGCTGGAGTGAGAGAAAAGGGAATGGCGTATGGAGAAGGCTCTGGGGAGTGAGGGAAGAAGTAAAGCTGATGTCTGGATGGGGAGCAGGATGCCCATATTCCACCCACAAGCAGTGTGAGGTAGTGTTTCCTTCCCTTAGCCTCACTTGAAATCCCTAAATGCTTTTGCAGGAGGAAGGCGGTAGAAGGACTTTGGCCAACATGATGTTTGATTAAAGGGCTGAAGTGCTGCCCCATGCTCTGTGTTTCCCCTCCTTACTGTCCACTTGCATCGCTGCTGTCTGGCTCCTCTGTCTCTAGTGTCCTGAAGGCTTTGGCTCCCACTGGGTGAGGTTGAGCTAAGCTTCCCACGCCCATGTGGGATTGTGCCAGCCTGTTCTGAAGGCCTCCCCAGCCCCACGCTGCATGCATTACAGCCAGCACTGTACTCCTTCCTGCTTTGCCTCCCTTGTATTCATGGGAGTTAAATACATTGCAGATGCTCCTGGACATACTCTTGACCCATTTTCTCTGGAGTCTCTGCAATCTACTTCATTGGAATAATTGCAATTTATTTAAATGTCAACAAGCCACACATGGGAGACAGCAGTTGTGTGCAAGAGCAGAGCAATTACAGGGAACAGGGTCCCATGTTACTGCTTGAACAGACATCCAAGCTAGAAGAAAGGAAAAGACCATTTACTTCTATTAACTGATCCCTTGCTCCACCACCCCTGAAGTCCCTATGTTTGTTCCTTTATATCCCTTCTTTAGGGCTATCACTTAGCGCAGGAGCAGGGATATAAAACCAGCTTCTACTTTTGCTTGTATCCCACAGCAGTCTGCTTTATCCAGAGGAATTTAATGTT